ACTGCTGGAAACGCGCATTCTGCAGGAAAACAACCGAGTTACGCCACGAATAAGGGCCAGGAGGTAACTGCCCTCCTCTCACACCTGTTGTTGTTGACGAGTGTGAGTCCTTCACTAAACACTTGGGGGCTCTGAGCCACTTTCTTAAGAACCTGCATGATTGGGGACATAGAAGCAGTAGGAGTCTATTTTTGAGGCGCCTCAAAAAGGGGACATAGAAGCATTAGAATTATTGCATAGACGGACAGGGTGGACAGCAAAAAAGATGGCCCCTGAGAATGATATCTCAAAGTATGGTTTCATATTAGATTCATACCTTCTATCTACTATACCATACCTTGTGTAATGAGTCGATTTTTGAGTCGACTCAAAAATCGATTACACCCTGAGAATGATCTCTCAAAGTATGGTTTCATATTAGATTCCTACCTTCTAGTATACCATACCTTCCCGGTGGCTACGTCAACTTCTCTCACGGTTGACTGCAGGCAGGAGGGGGGGGGGGGAGGGGGGAAGCGGTCAAGGAACACTCGATAGGGGAAGAAGGCGAGGGAGAGGCAGAGACAGAGGCAGAGAGTTGCATATGTGGAGGATCTTCAGAGGCTATATCCGCCTCCTTTAAGGGGAAAAGCAGAGGGAGCACAATCCAGCACAACAGTCAACGAGAGTGAGGGAGCAGAGACAGAGAGTGGGTGATGATATCACAGTGATAACATTTATTTACTTCTTTCATGGCTGACTAGGGCCAGGAGAAAGAACAAGGGTAGTACGCTTGCTCAACCCATGGATAGCCCAAGTTGACGGGCACTTGTGATTTTGTCTCCACAGCAACCTCTGGGATCAGAGAACCTTCGCGTCATGCTCGTACTGCGGCCATTCTAAAGCGGGGATACCTGTCCACGCATCCCTGTAGACTCGTAGAAGATTCCTTCCCCGGTGCTTCTGCCCCCGCTTGCGTTATGGCTCAGGTACACAAGGCCCTGGCGAAGACGGGATGCGCAGGAGAGGGAAAACAGATGGGCTTTGTGTTTGTTTGTCAAAGAGGAGATGCGATGGTGTTCGTAATCCCCGATGCTTCTTCCCCCGCTTGCGTTATGGCGCAGGCACACAAGGCCTGGCGTAAAGAGGGCGTGCCAGAGAGGGAGAACAGCCTATGGGATTGATGCTTGAGAGCAGAGAGATCACGTTCGCTTTCGCCGCCGCTTTCCCCGCGACAAGCCAGGTACCCAAGTTTCTAGAACCTGGGGCAAGTGTTTTACAGTTGATTGGAAAAAACCAGGTTTTGTGTCGTGAGGGTGCGTGAATTGCAACACTCGCAGGCGATTTCACTGTGCATACAGCTCGCCGGCCAATCAGTAGTTTTAGTCCCAACCAACTGTTTTACATTTGGTAAACTTGGGTCCCTGGCTTTAAGATACGACTATAAGGTGAGGCACGATTGAGGTTGGAGCTGAAGTTAGGCGAACGCAGAAATCAAGGTGAAGGCTCAACGCCGACGACGGCACAGGGCTAAGGAAGCTGACGTCGGACCTCCGTGAAAGCTGACGTGTCGTGAGGAAACGATTTGACTATCTCGAACGTGAGAATTCGCGGCCATGACGGGTCAACTGCGGCTGGAACCGACGCTTCGTAACTGGTTGGTGACTTGGCTAAGGAATCTGTACGCGCTACTGGTAGAGCAGTGACGACGAGAAAAACGAGAGTGATGCAGACATTAACGAGGCTGGGCTCCATCAGGCTAGGCTACTCTCAAAAGCTGCGGTAACGATCTTGAACTGGTAGACTTGACTAATCGAGTGGTGATTCCGTTGATAGGACGGCGCACGATGAACTAGATCAAAAGCCGTGCCGTACTATTTCGTTGCAGATTGGTGCACAGCACGACAAGTCCAAGGCATTAGCAGATGAATCCGAGGCAGTGGCGTTCTTACTTCAGTTCCATCAGATTCATTCTGTCAGTTCCGTTCCGTTCAACTTTGACTGAACTCCTGGTAGCTGTCTCAACTCTCGTGTATCGTGCTGGTTGGGCATCAGCGTGTGTGTCGGTGGGCGGGGACACACGGAAAACGCGGGTTCCTGTTCGCGCAAATCATATTGACGAGCTTCGCAAATAACTCGCAAGCGAATGGGTTTGGCTGACAGGGGCGCGCTGTCTGGAGCTGTCTCAGCTGCCAGAAAATGACTGTTGGACACAACAGCATACAAGCAATTGCAGTTTGTTATAAGCATAATTATGTATAGTTAGAAACTTCAGACATAGCTTCTTGATCACATAAACACACATGGCATCAACATATAGTAAAACGCATTTTTCACGTAAGGCTGACATAGAGCCTCTTCATTCACATCAAAATATCATCTACAGGTTGGGATATTAACGCCCATCGTAACGTCAAGATTTATTAATGTTTAACCCATGTTCAAGAAATTTGCGTACAAAAACCATGGATTAAATCAAATGATAATAGTGGGAGATTCGAAGTATGACAGTTTTGTACCTAACTAGTATCATTGACACACGACTTTTGTACCGTTACACAAATTCGTGGAGAACAGAATTTGTCCTTTTCTTCGTCGAGATGTTGCAAAAGATGTGCTTCTGACGATGGTGTGCTGCTATAGCGAGTGCGACTTGCTGACCCAATCTCTACCCTGGATGCGACTCGCCACATTGCAGCGCTCCGACGAGTAGCTGCAATCTGTGCCTGTATGAGCGAAATGCCACCCTCCCTTGCCTGTAAAATGTCGCTCAAACCAGGGTCATTCTGTCGCATCATCCGATCAGACGTGGATTGCCTCTTCACCCCCTCCTTGCGACACCTCCGGCGATAACTGAGACAGAAACCCAGGGTGTGCGATGTGCGACGCCAAAACCCAGGGTCCACGCTTCCCGCACACTTCCATCCAGGTTCAACTAACCGATTTTGCAGCTTGCGCTTTGCGAAAGCTGTTGGCGGCGACAATACTAACTGAGGGCATCTGCGTCGCGTGAGGAATCGCCCAGGGCAAACAGTAATCGCCTACACTACACCCCCATGTGCGACCCCAAACCAACAGCAAATTAGGCAGGTCGCTGCTAACTCCCTCTCGCTCACACCCCCCGCGCCTTGCGCAATTTCCTTCGACGCCTGGCTTTCTCGGCTACATAAACCCCACTTGCTCCAACTCAGCTCATCAAATTGCCCTCGAGTCCTCGAGTTCTCTCAGTTGATAACAGGCTCTCGCTTGTCTACCTCGCTTGCTTTCACCAACTCACAAAGCCTATTCAGTAGCATTTGAACAACAGCTCGTCCGAATTCTTCCTTCCTACTCAGAAGCATTTGAGCCAGTTTCTTGTTCCTGTCTCCAGTGATCAGCCATGGCGTCCAGACTTGCTCTAGCGCTCCTCGCGGCCTCACTCCTCGTCGCCTCAGCAGCCGCAGCTCAGTTCGCTCCTCGGCCGACGCCTGGCTCGTTGCCCAGCGCGTCGCCTGGGTTGTCGCGGGCGACGACGTTTCGCGAGGAGCTGAAGCAAGTGGCGAGCATCCTCGCCAGCCAAAAAGGCTACAGCCTTCCAGCTCAAGTTTTCTCGACCCTTAGTACGCCCTAGTTCAAGCACTTCTGACGCACTTGTTACGCACTTCTTACGCACGAGTTCCTTCCTTCTTTACGCCTCGAGCTTGGCTCACCCTTCCGACACTTCCTATGCCTGGGCTACTTCTGCCTCTGCCTCCCTGGTCTAAATTTTCCACCCAACTCTTCCCGCTCCAGTCTTCTCCGAAAACCTGATCGGCCGGCGAGTCCACAGCAGGAGCCTGTCCTTATGTTACCCCTCTTCCGCCTGCTCTCCCTCCCGTCTTCCCTCCTCTGCTCTCCCCCACTGCTATGCGAGCCCCTTCCCAGGCAACTTCCCCAGGGATAAATTGGCTCTAGTGGAGAACACCACCGTGTTCGTCCCCACCGACTCCGCCCTCAAGAAGATCGGCCTTCGCGCGCTCTTCAACCCTGGTCTGGTTACCAAGTTCGCCCGTTACAACATCATCCACGGGCGCTTCTCCTTCGAGCAGCTCACGAACCTGTCCAAGGGCTCGCAGCTGCGCTCTCTCTACAAGAACCGGCCGGTAGAGCGCAAGGCCGTCAGCCCCGCGGCGAAGGACTGGGTGGTCAAGAACAAGGACCTCCTCGAGACAAACTTTTTTGAGAAGCTCGGGAATAAGGCGAGCGGCGCTATTAACAAGCTTCTCCCGCCTGCCGGCAACGAGGTGGGCTTCGGCCGGCCTAACTCCGGTCCTCTGTCGTGGGTGCGAGTAACGAAGCCTGACCTGTTCAACGGCAACTTTATCAAGGTGCACGGTGTGGATAGCCTTCTCAGGCCGGCTGCTTGAGGGATGGTAGAGCTTGGGGTTGCCCTGTCCCATTCCATCCAGTGCGTTAAAGTGCTTTGATTTCTTTCATCTCATCGTACATCCGCCTTTTCTAGGCTATGCTAGGTGCATAGGAGACTTAGAGCCGTCAATATTGTTAGGGCGCATCTCGTGTCCTGGTAGGCTGTAACTAAGAATAATAGAAGCAGTCACTGCATTATTGATGGAAACAGCTGCTGTTGTGAGAACCATATCATTATTGAAGGCAGTTCCAATGAATGCGAGGGCCATTGGACTAGTCCCTAAGGTCCTATTCAAGAATATCAAGCTTGCATTGGTGCCACATTGTATGATGCATGGAGGAATCTTTCAGTGTGCAATAGTTCAATATGTTAATTGTGGTACCGCAACGTTCTACGTTAATGATTAAGGTGCTTCGAGTGGCATATGTAAGCAATACATAAATAAATGGGGATTTTTATAAATGTAGATTTGTTTTGTAGACCTAGAGATAAATAATGAGAATTGTGCTTTTCAGAACCCTGAAATCATCCTTGTCGTCACCTTGAAGCTGCCGAACCCAGCTCGGTGCTCCCTGGAACTCATCCCAGGAAGTTGTTGAACCTTGAAACTGGCGAGGCGACTCCTGACAAATTGGAAACATGGGGTTTGTCAGAGCTCGCATCTCATCCGTGAAATCCGCCCGAGCGAATCGCGCGTTGTTAGTCAGAGCTTTCGCAACTTCTCTGCTCCTGCGCGTTCGAGAGGAATTCTATCGTGAATTCGTGAACCTCATAGCTTATACCATCACCTCCCGTATCCTTTTCTCCGTTTCATTGTTATCTGACGCGCTTGTACTTATGCGCTGGTATTTATTAGGGCATGGATCGTTTCGCGTGGCTCAAGGCCCAGCCATGGCTCAAACCACATGATTCTCTAAGCCGCAGCCTCGTCAACAATCCCGACATATTCTCTGGCACCCCGCTGAACGCTTACGGGCCTAACACCGGACCTGCTGGTTCGGTCGACGAGCCAACTAATCCTAAAGACCTTCCCGCTCCCGAGCCTAGCTGGGTATATAACGGCTACGGAAGCTTCCATGTCAGTGCGTCGGAACAGTACGGATCGCCGACCATAGGAGTGCTTTCGCAGCACGATTCGCGTTTAGGCTGTTTCGAGTCGGCTCAACGGACACCTGTTCATGAAAAGCGTCGGAATGATGCTATGCTGGGTCTGCTTGCTCCCGACGCCATTCACCTCGAGTTCGCCATGGACCAGCGAAACCCTAACGCCACGCTTTTCGTGAGTGTAACGGTGTGAGTGTAACAGTTTGAGTGAGAGGCATGCAGGCTGGGTGTCTGCTCCTGACAGGATCTATTTTAAGTCATTTGAGGCCATTGCACCACATGTCATGCTTGATCTGCTTCGTCCTGTCCTACTCCAATCTGTATTTCACCCTATCCCTGTGTCTCTCATCGTATCTGTACGATCAGAGACTTCTGTACAATGAGAGACTGTCTGGTAACCCGATCCTGTCCTCCCCTGTATCAGGCTGTCCGCGTGGGCTGCCTGATCCTGCCTGCCCTGACATCACCGAATCCAACGCCCTGCAGTACCGGTGATTTTTGCAGTCGACACAAAAATCACCGAGACTGTCTGGTAATCCGATCCTGTCCTCCCCTGTATCAGGCTGTCCGCGTGGGCTGCCTGATCCTGCCCGCCCTGGCGTCACCAGATCCAACGCCTGCAGTACCGGCAGCAGCAGCGCCAGCAGCAGCAGCAGTGCCAGCACCAGCGCCACCGCCAGCACCAACCACGCGCCTCAGGTGACGTCAGAGAGGCATGTCGTAAGCAGCCATTCGGATGCATGTGGAGTGCACGTACGTGTGTGTGCGAGGGCAGAGGGTGGGGGTTGAAGGAAGGGGGCAGGGGCGGGTGGGTGGAGGAGGGGGGGAGGGGGGGGTGGGGGGGGGATTCTGTGTGTAAGACTTGTAAGTCTGTGGTTGTGTGGCTATATGCCTGTTTCTGCCTCTACGTGTCTCTTTTTATCCTTAAGCTAACACCAACCGTGTCCTCCCGCCGTGTCAGGACTGTGCTCGACTTTGGAGCAAATGGCGTCTTCCTATTGGACGCTGCTGCCGTCCGCCAGCTCATCAGAGGCACTCGAGTATTGCCGTGCTCCACGTATCATCAGCGGGAAGGGCTTTACAACAAGCGGCCTGAAAGTAACCAACATGGTAACAGTGATGGTAACAGGTGCTACAGTACCAAGAGCCATATAAATTCTGATGGCGGTTTGAAGAGAAAGCTTTTTCGGGAGTACGGGGAGGGGGACAGGGGAAGCAGTAGGAAGCGAAGGAGGGGGGGAAAGGGGGATGCTGCAACTTTAGAGTGTGATCACGAGCTGGGCGGGAGGGAGGTTGGTTTGGGAGGGGCTGAGTGCAAAGACGGAGAGGAAAGGGCAGAGCAGATCGGAAGGAGGGGGGGGGAGAGGAGAGGAGGAAAAGAGGGAACAAAGAGGAGAGGAGCAAGAGGAGAGGTAGGGAGGAGGGGAGAGGGAGAGAGGAAGGGAGTGGGAAAGGGAGCACGTAAAACAGGAAAGGGTGTAGGGATAGCGAGGGGGGGAAGGGTTCAGGTAACAGGGAACATGAAGGGAAAAGTAGGTATGAAGGGAAAAGTAGGTATGAAGGGAAAAGTAGGTGGTGTTGTGGCATCAGGCGATTCTGGGTTGAAGTATGGGACGGCGGGGAGCAAGGGAGGGACAGGGGCGAGAAGGGATAGACAGAGCAGGAGAGCATGGGATGGGGCGGATGGTGAAGGGGTTAGGGAGGAGGAGGAGGGTAGGGATGAAGGTAGGGAGGAGGGTAGGGATGAGGGAGAGGAGGGAGAGGAGGGAGGGGAGAGAGGGAGAGGGTTGGAGGAGGAGGATGACAGTGATGTTGTGCTGGTGGAGGGGCCTGGGGAAGGAAGAGAGGGTGAGGAGGAGAGGGAGGGAGATGAGGAGAGGGAGGGAGATGGGGAGAGGGAGGGAGACGAGGAGAGGGAGGGCGAGGACGAGAGGGTGGGTGGGTGTGGGACGAGTGGTGCTGCGGGTGTGGGGAGTGACGAGGGGAGTAGGGCTTTGGACGCGTCGCAGAAGGCTGTTGGTATTAGGCGTGACGAGGGCAGCAAGCGTTTTGAGGCGTCTCAACTTGCTGTTGGTGTGGGGAGTGACGAGGGGAGTAAGCATCTGGAGGTTTCCCAAAAAGCTGTGGGTGTGGGGAGTGACGAGGGGAGTAAGGAGTGGAAGGAGAGGCATGTGATCTGCACTCAGTTCCCGACCAAAGCCAGCTCTGAGACACCTCCGAGCAGGGATAGGCATGCCATATGCACTCAGTTCCCCACCAAAGCGAGCTCTGAGACACCTCCGAGCAGGGATAGGCATGCCATATGCACTCAGTTCCCCACCAAAGCGGGCTCTGAGACACCCCCGAGTAGGGACAGGCATGCGATCTGCACTCAGGCTCCCACCAACGAGGCAAGGAGAGGGGAGGTGGGGAGCGGAGAGAGGGAGGAGAGAGAGGAGGGGGAGGAAGGGGGGAAGGAAGAGGAGGGAGGAGAGGAAGAGGAGATGGAGGAAATAGTAATGGAAGAGGAGGAGGAAGAAGAGGGGGATGAGGAGGAAGAGGAGGGGGGTGATAAGGAGGAGAAAGAAGCAGATGAGAGGGAGGAAGAAGAGGATAGTGAAGGAGAGGATAATGAGGGTGGAGGAAGGGACGAGAGGTGTGAGGAGGAAGGAGGGAGCATGGAAGAGCACGGAGGTCCGGAGGAGGGAGATGACAGGGTAACGGAGGAGCACAGAGGACTGGATCAGGGGATTGACGGGGGTTGGGAGGAGGTCAATGATGATGGGATATGTGCTGCCTGCCGGCATGTGCCTTATGTCAGCCTGCTGCTGCCGCATGTCACTTTCACTCTGCATGGATCATGTGGGTCAGAGCAGCAAGAGCAGCAAGAGAAGCAAGTGGAGCAGGAGGAGGAAGCGGAGAAAGAGGAGCAAGGGGCGGATGTTGAAAGGTATGTGTCCCTTCACTTCACCCTTGTCGCCAATTGCCAGTACGCAGATTTCGAGGAGCATATGCAGGGAACTGGAGTGGAGGCATCCTTCCTCCATATGCTGCAGGGTGTTGGGCGCCTACATGTAGATCTAAATACACATGTGCCTATCGTTCTTGTATTTAGATCTCAGTTTCCTGATTTGCTCTGATCGGCACTACTACCCTTTTTTTGCGCCTTCCCAATGTCTGTGCCTCGCAGTGCGGCTCTCGCCATAGCAGCTTCTATGGCAGCAGCAGAAGAAACTACATCAGCACCATCAACATCCGCAGCAGCAGCAGCAATATCAGCCGCAGCAGCTGCAGCAGCGTCAACCACCAGCACCCTCCCTCCAGCCCTCTCCTCACTCGCCTCCCCTCTCCCTTCTTTCTACCGGTGGGCGTCTGCATGTGAGGGGATGAGTGCAGCCGCAGTGGGGGCGACTGAGGCATGTGGGGCGGACAGTTGGCTCATGGCACACATGCTGCGGGAAACAGTAAGGCTGCAATGCAAGCATCGAGGCTGTTAATAATGATTTCGAGTAAACAAGATCGACCGAGCCAGTGTTGCTGGGGCAGCAACATTTTGCGGTATCGACCGAGCTTTTTTATATAATTTCTGCCCGGTAAAAAGACTGCGACGTGCTACGTGCACGTCCCCCTTACTAACAGGCTCTGCTTTCCGCTATTGGAGAGGCGGCCCACGAGGAGATGGTGGGAGGGGCTGCAGTGATTCACACGCAGTATGCAAGTGCACAGGTGGGCCTCTACATCACCCTCTTCTCTTCTTGATTTGTATTTGGCCTTTCTCGGTTGCACGCTGTGTATATGGCTTGTCCTCCAAGGCTTCTATAGCACACACAAAACTTTCGTCGTCAGGGTGGCCTTAGAAAACCGAAGGTAAACTCTCTGCTTCCTTTCCCCTCCCAGCACCTGCTGCCACATCATGTGGTGCAGGAAGAAACGAGGAGTCTATTTTTGAGGCGCCTCAAAAATAGACACATCACGAGGTGACTTTTGAGTCGAGGTGACTTTTGAGTCGACTCAAAAGTCACATCACGTGGTGCAGGAAGAAATGAAAGTGAGGTACCGACGGTGTTTTTTTCTGCTTCTTAGGCCGCTCGTCTTCCAGTGTCCTCTGGTTTTCTCTTTTTTTCGTTTCCGTTTTTTTTTTTTTTTTTTTTTTTTTTTTTTCCCTGTTTTTTCTCCTCTGTGGCAGGAGGAGCTGAAGAAGGAACTGGAGGGGTCCCAGACGCAGGCATTCAGACGCAAAGGCCCACCTCCTAGTCCTGCTGCGTTGAGGGATATGAGGTCCCTGCTTGACAAGGTATGCCGTGTTTGAAGGGTGCAATGTGGCCGTGAGTTGGAGCAGTGCGTGTGAGCCCCCGTGCAGGCCTGTGCAGGCATTTAGATGGAATGGACCCCCTCCCGATCCTGCTGCTTTGGGGGATATGAGGTCCCTGCTTGACAAGGTATGGCGTGTTTGGGAGGTGCAATGTGATTGAGAACAGTGTGTAGGCGTCTGTGTGTTGGCGCTTAGACGCAAGGGCCCACCTGCTTTGGGGGATATGAGGTCCCTTCTTGACAAGGTTTGCCTTAGTTTGGAAGGTGCAACGTGATTGTTGTGAGTGAGAATAGTGTGTAGGCATCTGTGTGCGGGCGCCTAGACGCAAGGGCCCACCTCCCAATCCTGCTGCTTTTGGGGATCTGAGGTCCGTGTGTAACAAGGGATGCTGTCTTGGATATCTCATGTTTATGTGATCCTCCTGGTTGGACCAACGTGCGAATCTGCTCGCGTAGTACGATTACCGTATTCTTGCACCTTGGTCCCGATGCAGCGCATAACTCGTGTTATTCACCAATGCTGGGTTCTCGTCGGTACTCTCTCTCCCTGCTCCACAATCTGCTGTGCAGGTTGGCACCCTTAATGGACGGCAGCTTTTAGTGGATATTTTCCAGAATGGAAAGGGGTAGCATTATAATTAGGTGCAGAGGAGATACAGCTGTCGAAAGATACAGCTGTCGGAATTTAACAAGCAATTCAGCCGCCATCGGGGATGTAGCTCAGATGGTAGAGCGCTCGCTTAGCATGCGAGAGGTACGGGGATCGATACCCCGCATCTCCACGTTGCCTCCATTGACATCTTTTCCCGTGGGAAAGCCTCTCCAGTTTCATCCGTGTGCGCTTGGTTTCAGCTGTCGTGCGGGGGTGTCTGGCCTGGGCGTGCTGACTTTTGGCGCTTACGTGACGGGAGTAGCTGTTGGCGGGCAGATGCGATAGGTTCATCGAGGGTTCCACCGTTCCATCGCAAAACAATCGGACAGCCGAGGAAGCGATCTGTCAAGCCTAGAAGGCCACACGCCGGTTCCCTCGTCGCTGACTGGTCGCTGCCGTCAAGAGATTTGCGTGCGACGTATTCGCGCCGGCGTAACTGACTCTACTGCGCTACAGACGTACCGGATCGTCGAGGTGACGTAACGGGTGTTGCCGTAATGTAGCTCCTATCGCGACTGTAGCGTCGACGAGGGTGGCGCTGGTAACCTTGACCGCGTATCGGGCCTGTTTATAACGCGATGGAGCATCGTCATCAGCAGCAGCAGCGTCGCCGTTCAGCCGCCAGCGCGACTGTGGTGTTCGTCGCGTTTGGGACGCGGGGGGACGTGCAGCCGCTTGCAGTAAGTCTCGTCGTCTTGCTCTTAGTCGAGAATAGTAGTTCCTTGCAGAAGTAGAAGTTTGGCGCGCGGGGACACGTGCAGCCGCATGGAGAAAGTTCCGTGAATAGAAGGTTCCCTTCCGTCCGGCTCGTCAAGCGCCTCTCGCCTGTTCTGTGGTTAGGCACTCAACACTCCGATCTCCATTTTGGTCACTTACCCACTCGTGAGGAGTCTATCTTTGAGGCGCCTAAAAAATAAGCGCCTCGCCTGTTCTGTGTTTAGGCACTCAACTCTCCGTTCTCCATTTTTTGTCACTTACCCACTCCCTGCCCCCCTTTTCACCCCCCTCTCCTCCCCCCTTCCCCCCCAACCCCCCGCCCCCCTCCGCCCCCTTCGCCCCTTTCACACCCCACCATCTTCCCCCATACTTGCCCCCTCCCGTCTAGGTGCTAGCATCAGCGCTCGCTGCAGAGAGCAGATCACAGCAGGGGGGAGCGGAAACGAAGGGAAACACGGCGGTGGGGGGAGAAGAACGGGGAAGGGGAAGAAGTGGAAGGAGCGGGGGAGGAGAGGGGAAGGGGGGGCGGAAACATGGAGAGACGTGAGGAAGGGAGTAGGGGAAGGGGGAAGCCGGACGAAAAGGGTTGCAGGGGAAGAGGGTGGGGAAGAGGGGGGAAAGGGCGGAGGGTCGAGGGGGGAAGAGGGGAGGGGAGATGGGGACAGAGAAGCGTCTATTGCGGTTTGGTTTGTGACCCATCAAGAGCACCAGGTATGCCTTTCCTTGGAGAAGAGTGTAGTTTTCTTGAACCCTCAGCTGCTCAAGTAGAGTCTATATTTGAGGCGCCTTATGTTCTGCACTGCTGGCTGGAAACAATCTCTCTTTTCTGCGCTGCTGTTCTGCACTCTCCTGCATGCGCCCCTTTCCAACCCGCTTCCCGTCGTGATTGTCCTTCGCCGTGCCTGCAGCGCAGCCTCGGGCCGAGCCTAGCGGCACATGGTGTGGGGTTTGTGGGGGTGTCGTCCCCTGCGTTCAAGAAACGAGAGGAGCAGAAGGGGAGAGATGCTAGACCAGAGAGGGAACAGAGGGAGGAGGGCGGGGGAAGAGGGACGGGGAAAGCAGAAGAGACGGGAGAGAGGACCCGAGGAAAGAGGAGAAAGAGGAGCATGATTCTGAGTGAAGTAAATGAAGAGGGGAACGAAGCGGAGGATAAAACGGATGAAGAAGAGGGGGGATGGGGAGAGGAGGAGGAGGCACGGCATCGCAGAGAGTGCTTTGAAGCCATCCAGCAGTGCTTGGAGGAATCGAGTGAGGGGGGGGAAAGGAAAGGAAGAACCAGCAGCAGGGATGGCGAGCTGCAAGAGACACAGAGGCTCATAGTCTTCAACCTCTTTGCGCTGGTAACGTGCTCCCACCACCCGTGCTCCCACCACGCGTGCTCCCACCATGCGTGCTCCCACCACGCGTGCTCCCACCACGCGTGCCCCCACCACCCGTGCCCCCACCACGCGTGCTCCCACCATGCGTGCTCCCACCACGCGTGCTCCCACCACGCGTGCTCCCACCACGCGTGCTCCCACCACCCGTGCCCCCACCACCCGTGCCCCCACCAGCCTTGCCTCATCGATGGCAAGGCTCCTTACCATTTGCTCCCCACCAGCCTTGCCTCATCGATGGCAAGGCTCCTTACCATTTGCTCCCCACCAGCCTTGCCTCATCGATGGCAAGGCTCCTTACCATTTGCTCCCCACCAGCCTTGCCTCATCGATGGCAAGGCTCCTTACCATTTGCTCCCCACCAGCCTTGCCTCATCGATGGCAAGGCTCCTTACCATTTGCTCCCCACCAGCCTTGCCTCATCGATGGCAAGGCTCCTTACCATTTGCTCCCCACCAGCCTTGCCTCATCGATGGCAAGGCTCCTTACCATTTGCTCCCCACCAGCCTTGCCTCATCGATGGCAAGGCTCCTTACCATTTGCTCCCCACCAGCCTTGCCTCATCGATGGCAAGGCTCCTTACCATTTGCTCCCCACCAGCCTTGCCTCATCGATGGCAAGGCTCCTTACCATTTGCTCCCCACCAGCCTTGCCTCATCGATGGCAAGGCTCCTTACCATTTGCTCCCCACCAGCCTTGCCTCATCGATGGCAAGGCTCCTTACCATTTGCTCCCCACCAGCCTTGCCTCATCGATGGCAAGGCTCCTTACCATTTGCTCCCCACCAGCCTTGCCTCATCGATGGCAAGGCTCCTTACCATTTGCTCCCCACCAGCCTTGCCTCATCGATGGCAAGGCTCCTTACCATTTGCTCCCCACCAGCCTTGCCTCATCGATGGCAAGGCTCCTTACCATTTGCTCCCCACCAGCCTTGCCTCATCGATGGCAAGGCTCCTTACCATTTGCTCCCCACAATTCTCTCATGTCCTGTTCCCCTTGTATTTTGAGTCGACTCAAAAGCTAATTCTGCCGTCGTTCTCTGCCCTCGTGTCCTGCCCTCGTTCCCTGCCCTCGTTCCCTGCCCTCGTTCCCTGCCCTCGTTCCCTGCCTTATTCCTCGCCGTTGATTCCTACAGGAAGCATGGCACATAGCGCAGCACTTTGGAGTCCAGTGCAAGGTGACTTTTGAGTCGACTCAAAAGTCGCCTGCCCTCGTTCCCTCCCCTTATTCCTCGCCCTTGATTCCTACAGGAGGCATGGCACATAGCCGAGCACTTTGGAGTCAAGTGTATGGCTGCTGCACCCTACGTCATTCCTTACCGGTCCGTGTTCCAACTCAGACAACTCTAGCATCAGTAAGCCAGGTCACTTTTTTCTTTACTCTAGTGCCTGATTGAGTTTTTTTAGAATTCTAAAAAAGCTGGTTCTATGCCATGCCTTGCCTGCAATTTCTCCAATCTTCTCTCCTCTGCTTGATTCTTTCTAACTGCTGCCTTGCCTTCTCTTCGTCTCCTTGCCACCCCCATCCCCCCCAACCCCCACCTCCCCTCCCCGCCGCTTGCTTCATATGTGACTAACAACAAGTACCCATTCTTGGTCTCTTTCTCCTGTCCATTCAATTTCGTGCCACCCACTTACCATCCCTTAACTTTACAGACCTCCCCACCAGTTCTCCTCTCACTTTGCTCGCCGTCATCCGTCTATTTTCCACCGGTTGAAGCACGCTCTCGGCCCACACGAGGTGCGCTTCCGAGATTCATTCTGCACCTCGTTTGAGGCGCCTCAAAAGCACAAGGTGCGCTTCCGAGATTCTTTCTGCTCCTCAAGAATGTTGACTTGGTTCTCAAGAGCTCTCAAAAACCAACTCCACCCCAATGCTTCCCAGGGCTAAGAAGTGGAAGCACTTTTCACGAGGTGGGCTATGATGATGTAACCTCTGCTTCTCCTTTCCCCTTCCAATCATGTGAATCATTTGCGTATCTCTCCTTCCCCCTTCCCTCCCCCTCCCCTCAGCTCTCGTTGCCAAATGTGCTTGAGTGGATGTGGCCTCGGCTCTTCCTTTCACGTTTTTAACCATGAAAATGCTCTGATATTCCACGTGCATCCTCCTAGTACCTTCCTTTTCTTCCCCCTCTTCCCCCCCCCCCCCCCGTCCCCCCCCCTACCCCCCCTCCCTCCCCCGTCTCCTCCCCTACCCCAGCTCTCGTGGTCCGAGGTGCAGGAGTGGATGTGGCCTCTGCTCTTCCCCTGTTATCGGTGGGCGCGGTGGAGGGAAGCTTCTCTGTGCCTTCCGCCGTGCGCTTTCCTGGTTTGTCTGCCATCCGTCCTTGTGCAACCTGTAGGCGACAGACAATATCTTGTGTCTGTGATTCGTTTTGAAAGACTATGTATGATTTTCTTTAATAGGAGTACGCGTCAGTTGGTTAGTGGCCTTGGTCCTGCCCACATGAGACCACCGAGATGGCACGAACGCCACGACTTATGCCGCCTAAAAAAAACTAGCTTCTGTTATGCCCTTTTTTTGTGTGTGTGAGTGGGGGATCTTGTGCAGGATCCTGTGACAGAAGAGCCGATCCGTGATTGGCCCCCGCCCACACCCTTACTGTATGTTCGCGCTCTCACTCTCTCACATGCACACAAACTCTTGTACGCACTTCCTCTCGCACGCCCCTTCACATACACACTCTCTCTCCCATGGTCTATGTATGCCCCCATTGTATCCCACCATTCCCATCTGGTGCTCCCAGAGTGTTTTTGAGAATTCTCAAAAACGCTCTGCAAAATCTCATGGTGTGTGTATGCCCCCATTGTATCCTACCATCCCTGTCTGGTGCACCCTTCTCATCAGGTATGGCTTCAGCCCTGCTGTTGTTGAATGCCCATGTGAGTATGCATGCCATGCCAGCATGCTTTCCCGGGAAAAAAAATTAACCAAATCCAAGAAGATGTCCGGTTTCTACGAGTTCTCCTTCTTTTGTATATGCCGTTTTCCGTCGTCTGCTTTTGAGTCGACTCAAAAGCAAAAATACAATCCACAAGTTTTCCGATTTCTACGAGTTTTCTTTTGTATATGCCGTTTTCCGTCATCTCCTCCCCCTCCCCCCCCACCCCACACCATATTGGCCTCCATAAATCAAAGTCTGCGGATTCTGGTTCCCTCCACACCAATCCTTTCCCCCTCCCCCCTTCCCCCCCCACCCTCTCCCCCCCCCTCCTCCCCCGCGCCTCGCTTCCCCACAGCATATTGGCCTTCATCTATCAAAGTCTGCGGCTTTTGGTTCCCTCCGCACCAGCATGCTGCAGAGCCACTCTCCCCTCCTCATGCTCCTGCTTCAGCACCAGGAGCAGCAGAAGCAGAAGCAGCAACAGAGGCAGAGGAAGCAACAGAGGAAGCAACAGAGGAAGCAACAGAGGAAGCAACAGAGGAAGCAACAGCGGAAGCAGCAGGAAGAGGACAGTCAGAAAGGGATGTTTTATGGAGGAGCTGCACTGCCTGTGACAATATTGAAGAGCAAGTAAGGCGTTTTCCGTTTGCTGTCCTTTCTTTAGTGTGCCTTTTCTCACACGCACCTCTCTCTCCACCGCCCTCTGCTCCCCTTGCAGCTACTCCGACGATTCCTCCACCACCCTCCCAACGCTCGTGGCCCACGTCACCCCCGGAGCGATGTGCTCTATGTGGGATTCAGTGCCATGGGATGGTGGGTGAGACAGTGTGCCCTTTCTCATGCGCACCTCGCTCTCCACCGCCCTCTGCCCCCCTTGCACTGCAGCTCCTCCTACGATTCCTCCACCCTCCCAACGCTCGTGACCCACGTCACCCCCGGAGCGATGTGTTCTATGTGGGATTCAGCGCCATGGGAAGGTGGGTGAGACCAAGGGGGCTGAGACCAAGGGGGGTGAGACCAAGGGGGGTGAGACCGAGGGGGGTGAGAGGGGTTATGTGCTCCAACCCGCCTTCCTCCATCCTCTCTTTCTCTCCCCCTCCCTTTCTCCTCCCCCCTGCCCTCTTCTCTGTCCCTCACTCCAGCATGGGGCTACTTCCCAATCCCGCATCTCTGCTTGCCACCATCACTGCTGCAACCACGGCTCTCAATCTGCGAGCCGTGCTCGTGACAAGTGGCGACAGCGCATTGGAGGAGGCAGTTGTTGCAACGTGGAAGGAGGAGGAGTGTCGGCAGGGAGGGCCAGATTCGATAAAGAGGAGCAGAGGAGGAACAGTCTCGGTTGACAAAGAAGGGTTGCCCTTGTCCAAAACACCATCCCAAAGACCACCACCGGATCTAACACCACAACCGTCGATTCTGCCATCACCACTCTTGTCTCCTGCCTTTTCTGCCACGTCAGCACCGAGGCTCCTCACATGTGGGAGAGTGCTTGTCCTTCGGGGGTAAATTAAAAGGACCTCCCTGGTTTGCGAGCGTCACGTGCCACGTGTGTGTGTTCTGTTCGTTATGCTAGTCGGCTGTGTGAGACACCACAATCAAACACAACTGCGGTAACTACGTGCACTGATGCTGCTCTGCTCTGCTCTGCTCTCTCTCTACGTGAAATGACTCTTTTTCGACTCGCCCAAGAGTCACTGTCTTGCTCCTTTTGCATGGAAAGCAATATTTCTGTCATCTCAAATCCACTATCATGAGCTCACGCCAACGGTTGTTGCTCGGCTCATTTTCGCTCCTCCTTGCTCGTCCTTGATTTTCGCTCGTCCTTGCTCGTCCTCGGCTCATTATCATGAGAATTCTCAAAAACACCCTGCAAAATCATTTTCTCTCCTCCTCGCTCGTCACGACTCACGAGTGGCTCTTCCCCCCCAATTCGTCTCCCAACCAGCCCCCTTGCTCGTCCCCGTCCACCGTCCCACTGTCCTCAATCAATCTCCCTTTCTCCAGCCCTATCCTTCACGAGTGGTCTCCCCCCTCCTCCCCCCCACTTCCCCCCCACCCCTAATTCGTCTCCCAACCAACCCCCTTGCTCGTCCCCGTCCCCCCCTCCACCCTCCCACCCTTTTCAACCCCCTTTTCCAGCCCTGTCAGCCACGAGTGGCTCTTCCCGCACTGCTGCTTCGTGCTGCACCATGCGGGCAGGTGGGCGGCATGGGGAGGGGGAGAGGGGGAGGGTGGAGGGGGTGGATGACTGGTGGAGGGGGGTCTAATCTGTCAGCCACGAGTGGCTCTTCTCGCGCTGCTGCTTCCTGCTGCACCATGCTGGCAGGCCAGTGGCATGGGGGGAAAGATGGTTTGTGGGGGGTGGGGTATGGGGTTAGTGCCTACTGCGTTCGATCCTCACCATGAGGGCAGGTAGGCGTCACGGGGGGAAGGGGGGTACGGGCGACTGCCTATTGCTCCCCTCTGATCAAATCTGCTGTCTGTCAGTCACGAGTGGCTCTTACCCACTGCTGCTTCGTGCTGCACCACGTGTACCCCTCTCTTGCACCCCTCTCTTGCACCCCTCTCTTGCACCCCTCTCTTGCACCCCTCTCTTGCACCCCTCTCTTGCACCCCTCTCTTGCACCCCTCTCTTGCACCCCTCTCTTGCACCCCTCTCTTGCACCCCTCTCTTGCACCCCTCTCTTGCACCCCTCTCTTGCACCCCTCTCTTGCACCCCTCTCTTGCACCCCTCTCTTGTACGTGTCCTCCTGCCCCCACGCCACCCCACCAGCGGCACCACAGCAGCAGCGCTCAGAGCAGGCGTGCCTCAGGAGCAGGCGTGCCTCAGGAGCAGGCGTGCCCCTGTCATCCTAGACCAGCACTACTGCTCTCCTCTGTTTCTTCCCTTCTGTGCATTCTGTGCCTGTTTACCCGTGTGTCTCCGTCTTCCTCCCTGTGTGACCGCACCAGTGGCACCTCAGCGGTGGCACTGCGAGCAGGCGTGCCTCCTTTTGAGTCGACTCAAAAGCAGGTGCTCTGCCCTTTCATTCTAGACCAGCACTGCTGCTCACATCCCTACCCGTCCATCCCTATGTGTCCCTCTATCCCCGCACCAAACCACCAGCGGAACCACAGCAGCGGCACTCAGAGCAGGCGTACCGCAGGTGCTCTGCCCTTTCATTCTAGACCAGCACTACTGGGCCGAGCGACTCTCCTACCTTGGGGTCGCCCCTCCCCCTCTCCGCCCGTCCGACCTCATGCCTCTTGAATCGATTAAACTGCCGACAGGTGATTGCAACGAGGGGCTGGGGTTGATTCCCTCTGGGCTGGTGTAAGCACTGCATTCTGCTTTTCTCTGGTCTGGTCTGGTTTGTTTGAAACGCTGCTCTTCACCCTTTGGTCTGTCCATCTGCCAGCCCCAGCTGCTGCGGCTGCCCCTCTAGCTACAGTCGTCAGTTGCTTTGCTGCCGCACGGGATGCGGGCATGAGGGAGCGGGCCCAGGCGCTGTCACAAGAGATAGAGAAAGAGGTGCGTTGCCTGTGATGAAGTCAACTCTAGAGCCACCTTGCTGCCGCACTGGATACGGGGATGAGGGCCCAGGCGCTATCACAAGAGATAGGGAAAGAGGTGCGTCTGTTTGGTTTGGGTTACTCTTGGGGTAACTCTTAGGTAACCTTTGTGCATACAGCAGGACTCTTCAAACTGCTTGTGCTCATTGCGTTCCTGTGCAGGATGGTGTGGCAGTGGCTCTGGCTGCAATCGAAGGGGTGCTCTTCAAGTAAAGGCATTGGGCTACGCTCGTCATAAATATCCATGAGACTTCAGCAGCAGTATTCAAGGAATTTCAGTACAATCCAGGGGATTTCCATACAGCCAACGGCTTTACGTAACATCCAGGGGGTTTTGAAGGCCACATAAAGCCAACCACACGTGCCTCCAACACACTGGCATCCACACCACACACCCGAGTTCCTTGTAGACTCGTGCCTTGTCTCGCTCCTCATCCGAATCATCCCCCCTCTCTCTGAATTTTAGTTTTGAGGCGGCTAAAAACAAAAACATCCCGAGACTCGTGCCTTGTCCCCCTCCTCATCCGAATCTATCTTTGAGGCGCCTCATAAAAAATAGACTCTCCTCATGCCTTGTCCCCCTCCTCATCCCCCTCCCCCTCCTCATCCCGAGACTCATGCCTCATGCCTTGTCGCCCTCCTCATCCGAATCATCCCCCCTCTCTCTGAATCGCGGATTCTTCTGCACACCACAGAACCGGGGGCTCAAGATTGTGTCGTTGTTCCAATATTGAGCATGCTGCTTTTGAGTCGACTCTACAGCAGATTGTGTGGTGGTTTCAATTTTGAGCATGAACCGTGGTGGTGGGCAGTATTGAAGTGAACCATAGACTTCAACAGGCAGGAGGAGAACGACAGGCTTAAATAGGGGATGAGCAGGAAAAGGCAAGAATGATGGGCGAAAATAGTGGTCAAGAGGGACAAGAGCATTTACCTTTTGGTCGTCAGCAGCCCCTTCTGCCCCGCCCTCTCCCCCTCCCCTCCTCCCCTCCCTCCTCCCCCTCCTTCCCTTCCGCCCCTCCCCTCCCCTCCCTCCCCTCTTCTCTCCTCATATCGCCCACGCCCCCCTCCGTCCCTCCCTCCCCCCGCCTGTCTCCGCCTTCCTCCCTTCCTGCCTCTTGCATCGGCTCGTCGTCGTCCCTCCCCCTCTTGCGGGCAGGACCACCACCTCCCCCACTTCCGCCGTCTCTGTAGCCGCCGCGCTGCTTGTCGTCCCTTGAGTAGCGCTGGGCTCGCCCTGGGAGGGAGGGGTGGGAGAGAGATGAGGGGAGAGGGGGAGAAGAGAGATGAGGGGAGCGGGGGAGGAGAGAGATGAGGGGAGCGGGGGAGGAGAGAGATGAGGGGAGAGGGGGAGGAGAGAGATGAGGGGAGCGGGGGAGGAGAGAGATGAGGGGAGAGGGGGAGGAGAGAGATGAAGGGAGGGGGAGGAGAGAGATGAAGGGAGGGGGAGGAGAGAGATGAAGGGAGGGGGATAGGATAGGCAGGGAAAGGAAATACAGAGTGAGAGGGGAATTGGAGAGGGCCGCACCCATTTGCATTGTGGCTCAACCATGCTTCTACCACTCACTTGGCCCTGGCTGGTTCCCCGGTCGCTGTGCCATGAGGTGCTGCGCGGTGCATGGTGGTGGTGTTTCAAGCACTCACTCAGTCCCTGCTGGTTTCCCTGGCTCCCCAGCCGCTGTGCCATGGGGTGGCTCCTGGGCTGTCTTGGTACGGAGGGCGAGTGCCCCATGGGCGGCACCCCCATGGGCAGGCGATGCATGGCGTGGCGAGGCGAGTGCAATGAGAAAATGATTTAACTTAACGTCACTCACGGGGTCCTTGCTGGGTGCCAAGACGCTGTGCCATGCGGTGGCTCATGGGCTGTCGCGGAACAGAGGGCGAGTGCCCCATGGACGGCACCCCCATGGGCATGCCCCCCGGGCTGCCTCCTCCCGGCATGAAGAGTGGCGCGCCGTACTGCTGGATGGCCGAGATCTCCTTCTGCACTAGCTTGCCGTAGCCGCCTCGACGTGTAAGGATAAGAGGGAGGGAGAAAAATGGGGAGGAAAATATTTTAGAGGCACCTCAAAAATAGCTGCCTCGACGTGTAAGGATAAGAGGGAGGGAGGAAAATGGGGAGAAAATGATCATGGGCATGCACAGACCATGCGTGAGGAGCCTATTTCTGAGGCGCCTCCTTTTTGAGTCGACTCAAAAACAGACCATGCGTGAGGAGTCTATTTTTGAGGCGCCTCAAAAATGATCATGGGCATGCAAAGACCAGACTGCCCCCCCTTCCCAGCATGAAGAAGAAGGGTGCGCCGTACTGCTGGATGGCCGACACCTTGCACGCATACGAAGCTACAAGAGGAGAAACTTTTTTTGAGGCGCCTCAAAAATGGGGAGGAAATTATCATTGGCATGCACAGACCATGCGTGAGGAGTCTATTTTTGAGGCGCCTCAAAAATGGGGAGGAAATGATCATGGGCATGCACAGACCAGACTGCCCCCCCACCCCAGCATGAAGAAGAAGGGTGTGCAGTACTGCTGGATGGCCGATACCTTGCACGCATACGAAGCTACAAGAAGAGAAACCAGAGCCACATATCTGGGTCGTAGTCGGTGCGGTATTCGACCCTGACTTGCCCTCCGCTCCTCCCTCGCCCCCACCGCCGCCCGTCCTCGTCGCCCCAGTCGAAGTCCACTCTGAATTGCAAGGTCCGTCTTACCTGGATGGGGTACCTACAACCCTATATAAAAGGTGAGGGAGCCACATATCTGGGTCATAGTCGGTGCGGTATTCATCCCGCACTTGCCCTCCGCTCCTCCCTCGCCCCCACTGCCGCCCGTCCTCGAAGCCCCAGTCGAAGTCCACTCTGATTGGCCGGTCGTCCACTATGGTCCCGCTCACGTACTTCACAGCATCCTCCGCGTCCTCCCTCACGTAATACCTGCACCACAAAACGACAAAAGGAGGAGGCTGTTTTGAGTCCACTCTGATTGGCCGGTCGTCCACTGTGGTCCCGCTCACGTACTTCACTGCATCCTCCGCGTCCACCCTCACATAGTACATGCACCACAAAACGACAAAAGAGACCGACCAGCAACGGAGGAAGCAGGCATGGCCATGGGGCGAAAGGGAAGAAGGGAGGGAGGGGAAGTGGGGGGGGGGGGAAGGGGGGGAGAGGGGGGGGGGAGAGGGGGGAGGTGGAGAGGGGGGGGGGGGAGGTGGAGAGGGGGGGGGGAGGGGAGGTGGAGAGTGGGGGTGGTCGGGGCGGGACGGGGGGTGGGGGTTTTGTTGGCAGGGGGGAGGGAAACAGGAGGTGTAGGTGTAGGGGAAGTGGGGGGGTGAAGGAGGAGCAGGAGACCTGATAGTAGTCTTAAGACTTGACCCTCGTTTAAAGACGTCTCAAGCAGCAGCGCCACTCACGCAACGAAGCAGAAGCCGCAGGGCGTCATTGTGTTCTTATCGAGTCCCATTACAATGCGTCGGATCTCGCCCGCCTTGGAGAAAACCTCGTAGATCTGCTCCTCCGTGGTGTAAAACGACAAGTTACCCACGTAAACCGTGGTAGACATCCGGAGCGCCTGCTCGAACTCCTCCTGCGTGCCGCGGAATCGACGGTCGCGATACGCCGAGATCTGCTCTTTCTGTTGGCATCGGTGCGCAGGGGGTGAGGTCAGGGGGAATTGGAAGGGGGGAGCGGAGTGGGGAGGAAACCGAGGGGGAAAAGCGGAGTGGGGGAAGAGAGGGGGGGGGGGGGGGAGGAAGGGGAGAGGAGGAAGCGGAATTCCCGGATCATGCGCATATGCTCGACCGCAGGATGCAGGACCGAGCGGATCCTATCCGTTCTTTTTACTTGACCCTATCCACACGAACCAGCGGCGACGGCGTTCAGACGCTGTAATCGTACGCGCTGCTGAGTGAGCCAGTAAGCTAGGAAATGGAGAACGACGTGAAAAACACTTCGGGAACGCACTATGTACAGGCAACACTTAGAAGTGATTGTACCTTGAATAGCCGGGACATAGTGGCACGAGGACTATGAGCCACTAGAGTAAAAACACTTCAGAGCAAGTAAGCCACGCGAAAAGGTCTTCAGGGATTGGTAAGCTCTTGGTATGTTCTAAACACTCTTTCTACGGACTGATTTGGGGCGGCTCAAAAGTCGACACTAGAGCCGCTCGCATGCAGCAATCGGTTTCGAGCTGGCACATGCCCGTCGTCTGCTTTTGAGTCGACTCGAAAGTGGAAGAGGCCCGTCGTCTGATCCCAATGACGGTTCTGCAAGCGATTGTTAGCCGCTCGCGTGCATTGCGTTCGCGATCCACCGACCACTGGTTGAAATTTGATGCCAAGGTGGTGTGAGCTAGAAGCGACTATGGCGGTCGGGTAACCATATTAGGTGCTGAGGCAAAAGGAGGGAAGGGAAGGATGAGGAAAGAAGTGGCGAAGGGCGAAACGAGACCCAGCTTCAACGAAACTGGATACATATTTCCTGACGAAAGATTTTCGAAACGAATCCTGAAAATTGAGGCCATGCGAACGGCTCATGGGGACTGCCGAGATTGATCGGAAAACGATTTTCGCTCCGGGCGACGAACGATCACAAAGTAACCGTTTTCTGTTTCGTTGCTAGCGAATTGGCCTGAGATAATCCCTAGAAATAGTTGATTGACAGGCTGCCTGCTGCTATCAGGATTCAGGAATCAGGATCGGCCAGAAAAACCATTCCTGATCAGACGACACCATTCCTGATCTTCAGGTAACCTGATCTCATTTCTGAAAGCCGCTTCCTGTGCCATGCAAGTAGCCGTCTTAATTAGGGAGCCGATCCGAATCGCGGATCCAACGGATCCAGTAGTCTTAAATCTTGGCCTCTGCGGCTTACTGAAGCCTCTGATACGGTCATGAATCCTCTGCGGCTTACAACAATTCAATCATGCGATTGGTCGGTACTAGATACACCCGTCTCACGGGTTCGTCGTTCCTAGTCGCTAGAACTACCTAGAGCGGAACGGCTTGTTGGCCGAAGGTGATTTTTGAGTCGACTAAAAAATCACGAGCGGGACGTCTAGTTGGCCGGAGTTGGCCGGAACGTCGAGCTGGAACTACCTTGAGCGGAACGTCTAGTTGGCCTTGACATTTGCTAATTGCTCCGATTCTTTCCTTACTCGCGGATTAATTCATTAACAGGGCGAAATGTCGCTGTTTGGGGGTTTCAAGCCTTCCACGCCGGCCGCTTTAGGGACCCAAACCTCCGCTTTAAGCACACCCGCAACAAGCACCCCGTCAACCCTACAACAGCAGCAGCAACAGCAGCAGCAGCAACAACAACAGCAACAACAACAGCAGCAGCAGCAGCAGCAGCAGCAGCAGCAGGAGCAGCAGTTGACTCTGGCCATTCAGCAGGGTCAAGCGCATCTGCTGACGAATAACGATCCCAGTCGAGGGGGTCCGCAACCGGCGGGGTTCGACACTAAGTTCAGCGAGCTTCACCCGGACAGCCAGAAGATCCTGACGCACATAGAGTGAGTACATCCTGATGACTGTAGCGAGCGTGACTCTAGCGAGGCCGTCGACACCAAGTTCAGCGAGCTACACCCGGACAGCCAGAAGATTCTGACGCACATAGAGTGGTTATTTCTTTAGTAACTAAAGCGATGCCTGACTATAGCGGTGCCTGAATATAGCGAGGTGTTGCAGCTCCGAGCCGAAAGCCAGAGGCTATGACTGCCACGTGCGTTTTATGCGTGCTGTGTAACATTTGCTGCTACCGTTCTCCTCTCCCCTTTGCCCACAGGAGCAAGGTGTCGGAGCTCCGAGCTGAGAGCCAGAGTCTGTTACTGTCATGTGCCATGTGCGCTATATGCGAGTCATTCGATATCCTCTTCTTCTGCCCTTCTCGCCTTCAAGCCACAGGAGCAAGGTGTTGGAGCTTCGAGCCGAGGGCCAGAGGCTCGGCAGTTGTATGCACTCAACGTGTGCCGTTTGCCATCCGTCACTTCTTCCCTAATTCCACAGGAGCAAGGTGTTGGAGCTTCGAGCCGAGAGCCAGAGGCTGGGGCAATCCAGTCGACTGCAGGATGTGTCACAATTGGCGGACAATGCGTTTGAGCGACAGGCAGCCAGAGTCAGCCAGGTGAGAAGCGGTTAAGTGCGGTTGGCATGTGTGGTTGGCATGAGCGGCTGACATGGGATGCGCGTGGCTGACACGGATGGGCAATGCGTTCGAGTGACAGAGTCAACCAGGGTGGTGGCTGGTGTGAATGGCTCACATGTGGATGCCTGATCTGGGATGACAGGCACAAGTGTGTGCGGCACTTGTGCCACTTCTCTCCCACTTCTCCCTCGCTCCGTTTTTCCCTTTCCCTCCAGAGCCTGTCGCACGTGGCATGATGGGTGGTCACAGAGAGGGCATCCCTGCACCACATGCTGCACACGGCGCAGCACCTGCTGCACCACAGCGACCCTCTTTCCTGTGGCCCGACACACACCTTCTTGCCTCTTCCTCTTCTCCTCTCCCCTTTGTCGCCCCTCCTCTTCATTCTCCCTCCTGCCCACCTCTCTCCAGAGCCTGTCGCACGTGGCATCAAGAGTAGACACGGAGCGAGCCTCCCTGCACCACATGCTGCACACGGCGCAGCACCTGCTGCACCACAGCGACCTGGCAGTGCGCTCCTTCTCCCTCCTGCGCTCCAGATTCCCTCACCTCCCCGGCATCGACCCATTGCCACCAGGTGCGTAACCCAGAGCACCATAGCAGCGGTCCCCTAGAGACGTCTCATACAGTACCTGCTGCACCACAGCGACCTGGCAGTGTGCTCCTTCTCCCTGCCCTCGCTGCTCCTCATTGGCACAGTCGCTCGATTCGAGGTCAAACTCACGGAGTACCGCCACAAGCTAGCTGAGCTCCAGGGGGTGGTCGAAATCTTCCCTATCACCCCCTCCCCTCCGCAACCCCCCCCCCCCCCCCCGCACCGTTCCCCCCATCAGCCCCATCTCACCCCGACATCTACCGCGGAATCCCCTCTCTCCCCTCCCCTCCCCTCGCCTTTCCTCATTGGCACATTCTCCCCTCATCGCTTCCCCTTCCCTCCCCCCCCCCCCCATCAGCCCCATCTCACCCCGACATCTACCGTGGAATCCCCTCGCTCCCGTCTCCTTTCCTCATCGACACAGTCGCGCGCTTCGAGGTCAAACTCACCGAGTACCGCCACAAGCTGGCCGAGCTGCAGGGGGTGGTCGAAAACCGCCCTAGGGGACAGCACCCGGCTCGGTGCCGGATACTCCCGAGCAGCAGCGGCAGCGGCAGCAGCAGCGGTCGAGGCATTACCGGTGATTATAAAGAACCTGCATGATTTCTTTATCCACGTGGCGGCTCAGGTGGAGCGAGTACATGAGCGGGTGGACGCAGCACGGACAGCTTTCCTGGCTGAGCGGCGCAGGAGGGGCGATCGCAGCAACCCGTTTTGCAGAGGCAGACAGGGTTGAAGCTGCTGCTGCTGCCAGCAAGAAGCCATCCCTTTTGGGGCCTGCTGCTGCTGCTGCCGCTGGCACTTCTGGCGCTACTGCTGGTGCCACTGCTACTGCAGCAGCAGCAGGCAGTGGGATTCTGTCCTCTCCGCTCTCTCTCCTCCCGGGAACCACCACTCCTGGCGCCTCCCCGTTCCTCCCAAGCCCTGCCGGACTCCTCCCCCCTTCCACATCCGCCACCCCATCACTCTTCGGCAACCCCTCCTCTGCTACCGCCACCTCCACTCCCGGCCTCTCTCTTTTCGGTACTCCTGCCTCCGGGGCTGCAGGCAGCACCCCTGGCACGTCGCTCTTTGGCTCCTCCACTCCCTCCCTCTTCGGCGCTGCTGCTGCTGCTTCGTCCCCCGCTCTCTCCTTTGCCACTCCCGCCACCAGCACCACATCCCTCTTTGGCACGCCAACCCCTGCAGGAGCAGGCTCGTCCCCCGGCTCCTCTCTCTTCGGCGCCTCTGCCTTCGGCGGTACTGCTCCCTTTGGTGCCGCTACTTCTGCCTTTGGAGCGACACCATCAGCAGCAGCAGGTTTCCCTGGCTTGCCTGGTGCTGCTGCCGCTACCCCGTCTCTGTTTGGTTCGCCCGCGGGGGCGGCAACTGGGGGTCTGTTTGGGGCAGCAGGTGCAGGAGCGTCTCCCTTTGGGACTCCTTCGGCTTCGCCCTTCGGTGCTGCTGCTGGGTCACCCGCAGCATCTCCTTTTGGGGCTGCTGCCACTACCCCTACCACGTCACTGTTTGGTGCTCCTGCTGGGGGTGCCGCGCCTGCAGCTGGCGGCTTGTTTGGTATGTACTTACCGACCGATGGCTGGATTTCGGGGCTCGTTTGTGCTTTGTTAGTGCCTGTTTGGGATTTTCTCCTTCATGGGTTTATTGGCTTGTGTGGTCCGCTTTTGAAACTCTTGGCAAATTTCGTACCCCGTTTTTGTCAACAGGTGCTCCTGCCACTCCCACTCTCCAGCCTGCCGCCCCGATGCCATTCGGTTTTGGCAACACAAGTCAAACGGTGAGCTCATACATCATGAACATTTTAGTGCATGCTGCTGCTGCATCAATAAGTGTTTGGGGTTGATTCTCTACAATTATCGTTCCATATTTTCTTCTTCCCTTGCAGACCACAACCCGTTCCAAGTCGCGCGGCTCATCTAGAAGACGCTGAGAGGGGGGTTTGAATCTTGAGATAGGAGAACAATTAGCTGGTGTCCTGTATTAGGATTGTTAATCAATTTTATTGATTTGGTGTCCCAAGGAGTGAGCGACGGAGCAACTTGGTTGGTTCGCCGTGCCACGAAGGCTTCCACACGTGGATTTTACGGGTTCTAACGACCACTCCCTTGATGTTGGAGGGTTGCGCTAAAAGCGTGCTGTTGTGACGTGGCGTGAAGTTGATGCAGACCCTTGGTGTCTGAGGATGGGTACAGTGAAATAAAGCGCCAACATTCTTTGAGCTGCCCTAATAAGTGTAGGTTTGACCCGAAAGTTACCCGTAGTTGCCAATCTCGTCCAATCAAACTTGTGGAAGGGAAGCACTCAACACCACCAATCCCCCAAATGCACCAATCCCTAGGCTCAATGACGCCAACAGAATGTGCGGCTGTCAGACGGCTCCTGTCCCCCAAATCGGGGTCAGATTCACCCCCGTTACAGCGACAATGAACTCCCGCACGCACCACATCGCACCACACCTGACCGCACCACACGACACCGCACGTCCAAAGAGAAAACATTTTTCATATCAGTGCACGTACACACTGCACCCACACTATTCCCCCACCAAGAGACTGGTTCTCCTAGACCTTTCATGCCGCCGACACATCGAGTCACACGCTGTCTTTATCCGTGCTCGGTGTGCTCATGTCATGTCTCCGCGCAGCCACCCTAGCTGTCATTCCTCCTGACACCACGGCTTGCAAGGTGGCTGATGCTTGCATCTCCTCCGTTTAGGGTTGGTGGCGTTGTTGCTGCTTTTACGGCTGCTCCCTGCTTTTCTTCATACCTAATTACCTCGCGACCCGAGCTAGTATGACGAGCTTGCTAAGCACCGGGATGTGCGTGCCGCCGCGTGTGCATAGTAGACAAGCCTCGGATTTATTTTCCGATCTTCACAAGCGGTTAGCCTGCGCGAGAGCGACTCGTCCCTTCCCCCGATGCGCCTCGACCCGCGGAGTGGAGGCGACACTACGCGGGGTTCTTAGAATTCACTGCAGCGCGGATAGAAGCAGCGACGCCGCCACCCCTGATGCTTCCCCGGAGCCTGTTTCCGCGTCATGCGGTTCGTTTTCCGCGAATTCCGCAGATATTCCGGCTTCTCGGGTGATTCTTGTACAATCCAGCTCCGTAGGAAACGCCAGCGCTTCCGACGGCGAATCTTCCGGCGTAACTTCCGGGGGAACACCGAGCTCCGAGGCCAACAGCTTACGTCAGCAGCAGCAGCAGCAGGATCCGAAACAGCCGAAGCCGCAGCAGCAGCTGTCCCAAATTCAGGGAGAAAACCGAAGCTCTAGCGGGTCGAAGAAGGACACGACAGCGTCGGAGGGAAGAAAAGGGACGGGGAAAGACGGTCGGCGCGGGTCGCAGCAGTCGCAGCCGTCGCAGCAGCCGTCGCGGCGAGGCGACGGCAGGCGAGGAAGCGACGATAGCTCTCCGTGGTGGTGGAAGCTCTTCCTCGGGATCCTCCCAGATCTGAAGTTTGTGACTTTTCTGGTGATGAACATGGTGGTTCTCATGCTCTCCGCTCGGATTCTTAGCTCGCATCCGCTTGTCGTCAAACGCGCCGCTCGTCGCTTCGGGTTACTGCCGAAGACCGTCGTTGTAACCCTGGAAAAGTGGGGGTCACCGGCGAATACCCTGGTATCTGACGAGGCGGCATCTGGTGCTGGCGCTGGTGCTGCTGCTGCTGCTGCTGGGGTGAAAGATTCGAAGGACCGGAAGCAGCGGGAGTTGCTGCTGAAGCAGCAGCAGGAGCAGCAGGAAACGACGAAGATTTCCTTCTCCATCACTGTGCCGTTTTCGGAGTTCCTGTACCACGTGAAGAAGGACAATATCGTGTCGATTACTGTAGACGGCGACAAGGTGTCATTCGTCCTGCGACGTCCGGAGTTCGGGCGAAATCAGAAGGCGACTGAGTTACAACCCATGATTCGCCAGGTGGAAAGAATGGCCGAGAGCAAGTGGAAGGAGGCGGGGGAAGCTGCCGGGAAGAAGGTGGGGAAGATGCCTCCTGTCCAGGTGCAGCTGTCTACAGTGAAGCCTGCTGACGTGGCGGTCCCTTACGCCGAGCTGATGTCACGAAACGTGGAGTTCGGAGCTCCGGATAAGGCGTCGTTCAAACTCGTGAATACCATCTCGGTGAGGGGCTGTGGGTTGAGTTTCTGTGCGGTGAGGGCATGTGCTGTGAGGGAGTGTGCTTTTGAGTCTTCTTACACGGAGCTCCGGATAAGGCGTCGTTCAAGCTCGTCAACACCATCTCGGTGAGGGGCTGTAGAGTGAGGTTCTGTGCGGTGAGGTTCTGTAGGTTGAGGTTCTGTGCGGTGAGGTTCTGTGGGGTGAGGTTTCGTGGGGTGAAGGCCTGTGGTCTAAGGGTGCATTTGAGTCGACTTGTAAGGAGCTCCGGATAAGGCGTCATCCGGGCCCGCCAACACCATCTGTGTGTAATGAGTCTATTTTCAAGTCGACTAAAAAGTAGACTCATTACATAAGGCGTCATCCGAGCCCGCCAACACCATCTCGGTGAGGATGTGTGTGGGGTGAGTGAGGGCGCGTGTACTAGGGTAGGGACAGATAACCCGTGTCAGTTTTTGTGTGTAATGAGTCAATTTTTGAGTCGACTCAAAAATCGACTCATTAACCTGTGTCAGTTATTGTCTGGTGGAAGGAAGAGGGTTCACGAGGAAGTGGGTTCTTGATGAGGACGGTATCCGCATGAGGGCAAATTAGAGCAGAGCTTGGAGCGTGCAGCTTGTAACAGAATATGCTTCTCTCCTTTCCCCCTCGCATGCTTTCTTTCCTCTCCCATTTATCCGCCCCTGCCTGCCTTTCTCCCGCAGTCCACTCTTCTATACGCGGGCATAGCGGCAGTGGTGCTCTCGCGCCTGCAGATGAAGCTCCCCCAGGTGAGCGGATTCGCAGACGAGACGATCTGCAGATGGGTCAAAGTGCAAGTGGGCCGATTCTCGCAGTCCACTCCACTCTGCTATGAGCTGGCAGGGCATGGCTGCCGTGCCGTGGTGCTCTCGCGCCTGCAAATGAAGCTTCCCCAGGTGAGCGTGAGTGCATTCGCAGACGAGGCGATGGCGGGGGGGTCAAAGCGCAAGTGGGGCGATCCTCTCAGGGGCGATCCTCTCAGGCCACTCTGTTGTAGGCTGGCAGGGCATAGCTGCAGTGGTGTTTTCGTGCCTGCGGATGAAGCTTCCCCAGGTGAGTGCATTCGCAGACAAGCCAGCTGGGCAAGTGGTTGATTTCGCGTATGAGGCGATTCCCACATTGCATTCTGCTATAGGGTGGCATGGCAGGTGCACTCTGCTATAGGGTGGCATGCCAGGTGCACTCTGCTATAGGGTGGCATGCCAGGTGCACTCTGCTGTAGGGTGGCATGCCAGGTGCACTCTGCTATAGGGTGGCATGCCAGGTGCACTCTGCTATAGGGTGGCTTGGCAGGTGCACTCTGCTATAGGGTGGCTTGGCAGGTGCACTCTGCTATAGGGTGGATTCCCTTCGTCCGTCCATCCAGATTCCATACATCCATGCATACCCCAATCTCCACCGTCCATCCAAACTTCGTCCATCCATCCGTCCATCCACGTTGCATGTCATCCAAACTCTGTCCGTGCATCTGTCCACGTGGCATGGCAGAAGTTTGGGGGCAAGGGACGCAGTCAGAAGGGCAAGGCGCCGCCCGTGCTGTTTGCTGACGTGGCAGGGGTGGATGAGGCGAAGGAGGAATTGGAGGAAATAGTGGTGAGTGAGAAGCAGTGTGTGGGGATGTGAGAAGTGTGTGGGGGTGTAGAGAGTGTGTGGGGGTGTGAGGAGTGTGTGTGCGTGTGGGTAGTGTGTGGACGTGTGAGGAGTGTGGGGAGTGTGGGGGGGTGTGAGGAGTGTGGGGAGGTGTGAGGAGTGTGGGGGGGTGTGAGGGGTGTGTGGGCGTGTGAGGAGTGTGTGGGCGTGTGAGGAGTGTGTGGACGTGTGAGGAGTGTGGGGAGTGTGGGGGGGTGTGAGGAGTGTGGGGGCGTGTGAGGAGTGTGTGGGCGTGTGAGGAGTGTGTGTGCGTGTGAGGAGTGTGTGTGCGTGTGGGTAGTGTGTGTGCGTGTGGGGAATGTGGGAGGTGTGAGGAGTGTGGGGGGGTGTGAGGGGTGTGTGGGCGTGTGAGGAGTGTGTGGGCGTGTGAGGAGTGTGTGGGCGTGTGAGGAGTGTGGGGGAGTTGTGTATGTTGGGCAGGGGTGGACGAGGCGAAGGAGGAGTTGGAGGAGATAGTGGTGAGAGTGTGGGGAGTGTGGGGAGTGTGGGGAGTGTGGGGAGGAGTGTGATGCGTTTCTGTGGTGTGGTGTGTGCGTCCCTCCTCCCCCCTGTGTGTCTCCCATTCCATCTCGTCCACCATCTCTCTTGGTGCGCGTCTCTCCTTGATTGTGTGCCTCACGAGTGCCCCCGCCTGCGACCCCCTCTTCCGTCTCTTTCATTCACGGGCGAATTCCTCTCCTCGTTCCCTTGTCTTTTGGTCTCCTCTCCCCCTTGTCCCAGGAGTGCCCCTGCCTGCCACCCTCTCTTCCTTCCTCCTTATCCACGGGCGAGTTCCTCTCCTCGTTCCCTTGTCTTTTGGTCTCCTCTCCCCCTTGTCCCAGGAGTGCCCCTGCCTGCCACCCTCTCTTCCTTCCTCCTTATCCACGGGCGAGTTCCTCTCCTCGTTCCCGTGTCAGCTTTTTTGAGGCGCCTCAAAAGACCTCGTTCCCTTGTCTGTGTCTCTCCTCTCCTCCTTATCCACGGAGTACCTTGCGTGTCTGCGTGTCTGCGTCTTTCCTCTCCTCCTCATCCCAGGAGTACCTTCGCACGCCCGAGCGCTTCACTCGGCTAGGAGCCCGCCCCCCGCGGGGAGTGCTTCTGGTGAGTGTGCTGCTTGTTGGGCGATTTTTCCTATTTGTTGGTGAGTTGCCACTTAGTTTTCTGCTCCTAAGTGCGTGTTGATATGCGGTTTAGAGTCCTAGTTTTACACTCATACATTCACAATTTCCATTCCCCTCCTCCCCTGCTCGCCGAGCCTGCCTCTCAGGTTGGGCCGCCAGGTACGGGAAAGACAATGCTGGCCAAGGCGGTGGCAGGGGAGGCGGACGTACCCTTTATAAGCTGCAGCGGTAGCGAGTTTGTGGAGCTCTATGTGGGCCTGGGGGCGTCGCGAGTGAGGGAGCTGTTTGCCCAGGCGAAGAAGGACTCGCCATCCATTGTGTTCATAGACGAGGTGAGCTCTGAGGAGCTTATGGAGGTGAAGTGAGTGTGAGTGAGTCTAATAGTTCTTGAGTGTGTTCTCAAGGTGAGGGAGCTGTTCGCCCAGGCGAACAAGGACTCGCCATCCATCGTGTTAATAGACGAGGTGAGGTTTACAACGAGGTGTGAAGTGAGGTGAGGGGCTCTTTTCAAGGCAGAGACTTCAGGGGTACTTGAGCAGAGCGAGTGAGGGAGCTGTTCGTCCAGACGAAGAAGAACTCTCCCTCAATTGTGTTTATAGATGAGGTGGGCTCAAATGGGCTAGATGAGAGACTTTTCTCCACGAGACACATGGGGTGAGGGGGCTTGGGGGTGTTGCGAGTGAGAGCTCTCTTTGCCCAGGCGAAGAAGGACTCTTCCTCCGTTGTGTTCATAGACGAGGTGAGCTCGAATGCACTAGGAGGGTTTTGAGGAGACAAGGCGAGCTCGTAGGGGAGCTCACTGTACACGCTGTGCACAGTTGAGGCGAGTCTTTAGAAGCACTTGCCTTCCTTTGTGTTCATGGACGAGTTGAGCTATGAATAGACGATGTGAGAAAAAAAAAATTCCAAAAGCAGAGACGTGGGTTGAGTGGGCCAGTGTGTTCATAGACGAAGTGAGCTACTCTAGTCCAAAGCCGGAGTCGTGGGGTGAGTGGGCTTGGGGGCGTGGTGGCGAATGAGGGAGCTGTTTGCGCAGCCAGAAGAGGACTCACCCTTGATTGCGTTCATAGATGAGGTGGGCTCATAGGCTCATAGGCTCATAGGCTCATAGGCTCATAGGCTCATAGGCTCATAGGCTCATAGCATGGCTCTAACGAGTCTACAGAGACGGATTTGCTTACGGTAAAGCTTGATGTTTACTGATGCGACCGCATGTGCAGTGTACGTATGAACGTCCGCCGACTAACCCTCCCTTCCCAGCCCTTCCCTTCCCTTCTCATCCTTTCAACCTCATCCCCCCCCCCCTTTCCCCTCCCCCACTGTCACAGATCGATGCACTGGCCAAAGTGCGAGATGGCCGCATGCGTGGTGTATTGACCTCTGACCCCCCCCCCCCCCTCTCCTCCCCCTCCCTCTCTTTCTTTCAACCTTTCCCTTGGGTTCAAATTTCGCTCCCCCACTGTCACAGATCGACGCAGTGGCCAAGGTGCGAGACGGCCGCATGCGCAGTGTGGGCAATGACGAAAGGGAGCAAACACTCAACCAACTCTTGACGGTAAGTTGAGCTTAGGGTTTAGGTGTATATTTGACCACGTGCGGGTAGGTGTGCCACGCATGGGTGTGCCACGTGTGGATGTCCCACATGTGGGTGTGCCACATGCATGCATGTGCAGTGTGGGCAATGACGAGAGGGAGCACACGCTCAACCAGCTGCCGACTGAGTTGATATGTGCGGCTGCTGAGACGACCTTTTCTTGACCTTCAGGAGTAACTGAATCCTGGCATCAGGGGTAACTCATGTTCTTTACGTCTCACTTCAATAGTACTGCGACAGAGGATGCTATGAGAGCAGCACGTCAGCAGCAGCAGCCGTAAACAGAGCAAACGGCGTTGCCTTCCACATGCCGCATTCGGCCACACGGTGCTCCCTCCCACCCTGCACTCCGTCCCGCACACCGCAGGAGATGGATGGCTTACACAGCAGCTCGGCAGTGATCGTCCTGGCAGCAGCCCCCTCTGCAACCCCCCCTCTTCTAACCCCTCCTCCCCCCCGGGTTCCCCTTTATTCTACCGGCAGGAGATGGACGGGTTTGACAGCAGCACGGCAGTGATCGTCCTGGCCGCCACCAACAGAGCGGACGTCATTGACCCGGCCCTCCGCCGACCGGGCCGCTTTGACAGAATCGTTGCGGTGAGAAGCTGGGAGGGGCAAGCTTTTGATGTCATTTGAGAAGGTGAGAAGAGTGGTGCTTCTGTGCCTGTGCTTCTGAGGCGTCTCAAAATGCTCCCATCTTGGGCGCACCCACACATAGACAAGCGTGTTTTCCTTGCGTACTCATGGCTCGCTTGCACAGGTGGAGCCCCCTGACTGCAAGGGGCGGGAGGCCATACTGACAATGCACGTGGGGCAGAAGGAGCTGCGGCACCCTCATAAACACGCATGTGTTCCCTGCGAATACGCCTCATTGCTTCTGTATTTTCCACAGGTGGAGCCCCCTGACCGCAAGGGGCGGGAGGCCATACTGACAGTGCACATAGAGCAGAAGGAGCTGCCGCTGAGTAACAATGTGAACATCCAAGAGATTGCCGTTGCTACCACTGGATTCACCGGGTGAGTTGTTCAAGGATGGCTTGATATGGGTTGACGTGAGGACAGGGTTGCAGCTTGGAAGGAGCTGCCTCTTAGTAACGATGTGAACATCCAAGAGATTGCCGTTGCTACCACTGGATTCACAGGGTGAGTTGTCGTGAGACGTTTTGAGACGTTTTGAGACGTTTTGAGACGTTTTATGATGGTTTGAGATGTTTCGAGATGGTCTGCTGTGGTAATATGGGTTACTTACACAGTGTGAGAACTTTCCTTCGAGCATCAATGTGAGCATCTAAGAGGTTGCCGTTGCCGCCACTGGATCGCGGGTTGATTGGCGCTGCTTACGTGGCAGTGCTATTATGCAGTGGAAAAGGAGTGAGTCTACTTTTGAGTCGGCTCAAAAATAGGCTCATTACGCACTGCGTACGTGGCCGTGCCATTCTGCAGCGGAAAAGGAGTGAGTCTTTGAGTCGGCTAAAAAATAGGCCCATTACACACTGCGTACGTGGCCGTGCTATTCTGCAGCGGAAAAGGAGTGAGTCTATTTTTGAGTTGGCTCAAAATAGGCTCATTACACACTGCGTACGTGGCCGTGCTTTTCTGCAGCGGAAAATGAGTGAGTCTATTTTTGAGTCTGCTCAAAAATAGGCTCATTACACACTGCTTACGTGGCCGTGCTATTCTGCCGCGGGAAAGGAGAGAGTGACTGAGTTGCAGCATACTCCACTCCTGAGATCATGCAGCCCTCATGATGCCTCCCCCTAGCTCCCCACCTACTCCCGAGCGTTCTCCCCCACACGTCCGAAAAGGCTCCTGCATAACTCCGTACTATCTGTCCCATTTTCCCCTTCTCCTTCCAGTGCCGATCTGGCCAATCTGGTGAATGAGGCGGCACTCTTGGCAGCACGGAGGGATCAAGACGAGGTCACCAGGCAGGATTTTGACAACGCTGTCGAACGGGCTCTTGCGGTGAGTGTGACTATTATGGTGTGTAATCAAAATGTGTGACCATGATGTGTGATCATGATGTAGGTCTGATTAAGTTTTTATTAAACATTCTAAATATGTGTTCATTTTTTTCTGCCTTTTCCTACAGGGAATTGAGAAAAAACGGTCAGCTCTTGGTCGGGCAGAAAAAGCCGTGGTGGCGCGGCAC